CTCCAGCGAGAGCGCGACTCCAGAGCGCCTGAATAAATTGTAAGGAAGTCCCAAGCGAGAGCGCGACTCCTGATTTTAATATGAGGAAATCTCAGGCGGGAGCGGGGGTCCTGGCAAAATTGTAAGGAAATCTTAGGCGGGAGCCGTTGTTGTTGTAACCCGGCGGCCAGGAACCCAGTTTGAGGAGGAAGACTTTCCCTGATAAAAAACAGGGTGCGAGCGCCGGGAGGCGCAGTTCATTTGACAAAAAACATGTGCACCGGAGGGGGGGAACAACAACAATTATTCTTCAGTCGTGAAAGCACAACAACAAGCACTTTAAGACTGTTCGTTCTTATTGGCACGCGTGCCTTGCATTCTGTATACCCCAACCCTCGATACCCGCCCACTTCGTCTTCGATTGCACCCCCTTTTGGGGGAATATCTTCCTTTTCGGCCACTGACTGAAGTGCGAGGAACTCTCGAGCGAGAGCGCCGTTCCTCAGTTCGGGGTTCTCTCTGGCCAGAGGCTCTCGGAATACAAATGGAGAAATATTGAACGGAAGCCCTTGTCGCTGTGTCTGGGTGTCCACTTGCCTGAATTAAAGAAAGTCTCGAGCGAAAACGCCACTCTTGAGTTCGGGGGCCTCTCTGGCAAGGGTCTTTGCGAATACTCTTGAGGAAGTATCGAACAAGAGCCCTTGTCGTCGTAGCTGGGTCTCCACCAATTTGATTGAATCGCGAGAAAGTCTCGCGCGAGAGCGCCGCTCCTCAGTTCGGGGGCCTTTCTGGCCAGGGGCTCTTGGAATAAATCGTGTGGAAATATCGAGCAGGAGCCCTTGTCGTCGTGGCTGGGCCTCCGTCTACTTGATTGAATTGCGAGGAAGTCTCGACCGAGAGCGCCGTTCCTGAGTTCGGGGGCCTCACTGGCCAGGGTGCCTGGGGGTAAACTGTGAGGAAGTATCAGGCGGGAGCCGTTGTCGTCGTAGCCAGGCCTCCAAGGGCCCGCATTTACACTCAAGCCAACGCTCGCGCGGGAGCCTCGCTTTCAGAGAAAATATTGCCCGCGTCGAGGCAAGAACGCGCGGAACAATTTCCAGATATCAGCAGCAAATATTATCCAGAAGTGAATGCTCAAGAGAACACAGCAACAACAACATCAACACTCAATTTAAGAAGACTGTTCGCTCGTATCTGCTCGAGTGTCCGTTAACGCGTATTTCCCAAACCCTCGATACCCGCCCTCTTCGTCTTCGATCGTAACCCTTCTGGGGGGTGCGATTCCGACTTAAATCTGAGAAAGGCTAGAAAGCGAGAGCGCGATTCCTGAGTGTCGAGGGCGCGGCGTCTGACTACATTGCGAGGAAGTTCCACGCGAGAGCGCGACTCCTGTATAACTTGTGGGAAAACCTGCGCGAGAGTGCGATTTGGGAATAAGTTGTCAGGCAGCATCAGGCGGGAGCCGGTGTTGTTGCCACTCGGCGGCCAGGGCCAACTTTGGTGGCCCCTCGCTTTCCCTTGTAAAAACAAGGTGCGAGTCCCGGGGGAAGAATTTGAATTTGCAAAAAGACAATATGCCCTGGAGGGGGGGGGGTCAAAAACCATCTTTCTTAAAACATGAGAACTCAACAACCACAACAACAACAACAACAACAACAACAGCAATAACAACAACACCACCACCAACAACGATTACAACAACAGCAGCAGCAACAACAACAACAGCAACAGCCGCACCCGCAGCAGCAGGAACAACAACACCAAAAACAACACCAACACCAACACCAACACCAACACCAACACCAACACCAACACCACCAACAACAGCAGCACCAACAATCAGTTTAAGATAGCTCGCTCTTATCTGCTCGCGCGTACCTCACGACGTATATCCCAACCCCCCATACCCGCCCTCTTCGTCTTCGATCGTACTCCCTCTTGGGGCTACATCTTCCTGACCTGCCACGTGTATTGGGTGCAGCCCCTGAAAGAGCAAGAGGAATGAGAAAGTAGAAATAGAGAGAGAAAGACAGAAAGAAAGAAAGAGAGAGAGAGAGAGAGCGACAGAAAGAGAGAGGGAGAGCGAGATAACGAGAGAGAGAGAGAGAGAGAAAACGAGGAAGACAGGGGTGGGGGGAAGGGAGGGAGGCAAGGGACAAGAGGGAGGGAGCAGAACTGCGAACGAGAGAAGCGGCCACTGCAGGGCAGTAGCGGGGCCACGAAGGGCAGCAATGGGGCTACTGAGGGCATTGACGGGGCCACAGAAAGCAGCAAGGGGGGCGAGAGGGGCTACGCTGGGGCCACAGAGGGCAGCAACGGGGCCACTGAGGGCGCAAGCCATGGGCAGCGCCTGGGCCACTGAGGGCAACGGCGGGGCCACAATGGGCAGCGGGGGGGGGGCACAAAGAGCTACGTTGGGGCCACGAAGGGCATCAATGGGGCCACTGAGGGCACGAGCGAGTGAGGGCCACGACGAAGGGCGAACGGATGGGCCACAAAAGGCAACGAGGGGGCCACTGAGGGCAGCGGGGGGGGGGAGGGGGCACACGGGGCTACACTGGGGCCACCAAGGGCAGCAATGGGGCCACTGAGGGCACGAGCGAGCGGGGGCCACGAAGGGCGAATAGATGGGCCACAAAGGGCAACCTGGGGGCACTGAGGGCAGCGGGGGTGGGCACACGGGGCTACACTGGGGCCACGAATGGCAGCAGTGGGACCAGCGAGGGTATGAGCGACTGGGGGCCACGAAGGGCGTATATATGGGCCGCAAGGGGAAGCGAGGGAGCCACTGAGGGCAGCAACGGGGCCACGAAGGGCGAACAGATGGGACCACTGAGGGCACAAGCGACTGGGGGCCGCGACGGGCGTATACATGGGCCTCAAAAGGCCTACGCCAGGCAACAAAGGTCAGCAATGTGGCCACTGAGGGCACGAGCGACTGGGGGCCACGAAGGGCGAATATATGGGCCACAAAAGGCAATGAGGGGGCCAGTGAGGGCAGAGGGGGGGAGGCACACTGGGCTACACTGGGGCCACGAAGGGCAGTGATGTGGCCACTGAGGGGGGCACGAGCGACTGGGGGCCACGAAGGGCGTATATATGGGCCACAAAGGGCAGCGAGGTGCCACTTAGGGCAGCATCGCGGCCACGAAGGGCAGCGACTGGGCCACAAGGGGAGGGGCCACGAAGGGCAACAATGAGGCAGAAAGGGCGCGAGCGAGCATGGGGCACGAAGGGCATGACCCTGACGGGCGGGCCGAGCGGGCGGATCGATCCTGCGTTCTGCGTGATTAGCCACGAAGTTTCCAGCGAGAGAACGATCCTTCAGTAAATTTGAAGAAGTCCCCAGCGAACGCGCGATTCCTGAATGGCAAGAGCGCGGCGCCAGAGTAAATTGCGAGGAAGAAGTCTCAGGCGGGAGTGCGATTCTCGAGAAAATTGCGAGGAAGTCCCAAGCGGGAGCGGAATAATTTTCGAGGAAGTATGAAGCGGGAACCATTGTTGTCATAAACCGGGGGCCAGGGGCACAGTTTGAGGAGGAAGACTTTCCCTGATAATAAACCAGGTGCGAGCGCCGGGAGGGGCACTTCAATCGAACAAAATGTAATGTGCACCGGAGAGGGGGATCAACAATAATTATTCTTCAATAGTGAGAGCTCAACAACAACATGGTCATCATGTTCGCAAGCTGTTCCCATCCGCTACCCTGGCTCTGTCTAGAATGTAATGGGGTGCGCACGAATCCTCATGAGCTACCAATCTTACCCAAATCGAGTAAGGCTAAACCAAAGTTTTCTGTTATGCTGCCAGGAACTGGCCCTGCTGATCGCAGTTGGCAGTTCATGGTCAGTGCTGTATGGGTGGTTCTCTGTCGGTGCGCTGTGGGCGGTGCCCTATGATTGTGCCCTATGTTTCCCTGTTTGCTCCAATGGTTCGTTCTCGTCGGTGCCGTACGGGTGAAGCCCGCTGGCCCCTATGGCGCCCCGTTAGCCGCAAACGATTGTTCCAGGTCGGTGCCCTGTTGGTGATTCCAGGTCGTTGTCACATGGGTTATGCCTTTTGATAGCTCCCTATAGTTGATGTGGTTAGTACCTATGGTTGGTACCCTATGGTGGCCTCTGGTTGGTGCCTAATGGCTTGTGTGCTCTGTATGGCTGGCGATCGATGGTTGGGACAAGGCTTTCTCATCGGGAGAGCAATGAACCACTCTTCGGGCCCATGCGATGGGACCATTGAGTCCCGTTAGATGCGATGACGAGCCCCGTGCCCCCAAGTCTCGGCGCCTCTTGTGGTGATGGCGCGTGGCTCTTCCTGAGGCCCCAGAAGAACACCCAAACCGAATTCCCCAGCTAAGCCAGCGCCAAAACAGATTCGATACAACTGAGCCAGCCCGCCGCCGAACCGAACCGCATTGGATCCTGCACGGAGGAGGTGGAGGAAATCGAGGAGGGCGAGAAGCAGTCATGCAAGGTGCAACAGGATCCTCCACTCTACCAGGTTGTCTGCACAAGGTGGAAAAGTCGGCGGTGGCGGCTACAGGACAGGCCTCCACGCCAGCGGTCGGATACTCTACGCAAGTGTTCTACAATCAGAAGACCAAGAGAACGACACAGACATACGCATCTACACTTTCGGATGTCAGCGCAGCGCAGACTCCTTGGCTCGGGGCTGGACCCTGAACCGCTCCCCCGGCGCCGCGCGCGCTGGGGAGGGAGCGTGGAGAGGGGGTCCCGCGCCGCCCCAAGAAGTCGGCGCGGACCTCAGTGTATATTTATGCCGTTTTTGGCCTTCAAGCATGGGGGGCCGCCCAAACGGGGCGAGAACAGACGGAGTCGGAGGATCGCGCATCTTCGCCGGTGCATCGCAGATGCATCGCCGTATCGGCGCTGAGATGGAAAAGTCATGCAAGGGATGTAAAGCGAAGGTGGACAAAAACCAGGGATGAAGGAATCAGTGGTTTTGACCAGCAACAGTGGGTAAGTCAAGTGCTCGAAATCATGCCGCCGCCTGGGCGGCGACAGTCAGGCCCACGCCTCTCGGCCTTCCGCCATGCTGTAGGGGAGCACTTGCTCGCAACCGTCGGGCGCGGCCGCGATGTCTGCCATTCCGTCGGCGCACGACGCGCAGGCGGTCCCCGCCTCGCCGCCCTCGGGCGTCGGCTCCTCCGGGCCGCTGGGGGAGCAGCCCGCAGAGAACGACTTCGAGGGCATCGCGAAGCGGACAGGCTTCGCACTCAGCAGCGTGGTCTCCACAAGTAGCCGGGTCACCTCGTACGGATCCATGTTCGAGGCCGGCCGGCGGTCCTCGTAGTATCCGCAGCCGCGAGCAGCGACGCGGGCACCGATGCGGACGCTGCTGCTGCGGTCGCCGATGCCCCAGGTGAACTCGCCTATCTTGGCGGTGCTGTCCTCGCCCTGGAGGCGTCTCCGGTTGCCTCCAGGACGCCCGCAATCAAGACAGAGAAAACATCATCTTTTGGAGGTCCGCGCAGGATTTTCCTGGGTCGGCGCTCGAGCCCGCCCCCCTCCCCGCCACGCGGCGCCAGAGGAGCGAGTCGGGGAAGGGGGGTATGGGAGGGGGGTCCAGCGCCGACCTGAAACATCCGTGCGGATCTCCCAAATTGCAAGCGCTGCAATATTTGGGTAATCTAGCCTCTCCCATACACGGCCATGTGGTCGAAGTGCCGTCTCTGAAGCAATTCCATGTGCTGCTCCATAACCTGCAAACCATCAAGCGCTCTCGTCGCCTTAGTGGAATAATTCGTGTGGCAACCGATACCAGGCCAACCGGGTACGGGCTTCGGGTCGAACGTGACACCTATGTGGAAGAGCTCGCAGAGGCGCTGCAAGATGTAGCGCGCCATCCACAAGTCGTCCGCTGCGTCAATGCCAGTGCAGGGGCCCACCTGGAACTCCCACTGCGCTGGGGCCACCTCCGAGTTGACCCCGCCCAGCTTCACGCCAGCGTACAGGCACGCCTTGTAGTGGGCCTCCACGACATCTCTGCCCACCGCTTTGGTCGCACCGACGGAGCAGTAGTACATGTCGTGTTGGCCAGGGAACTTCCCAGGTGGCCATCCCAGTGGCCAGTCTGTTTCTAAGTCCAGAAAATCCGCAACCGTGCCTTCAGCACGTAGTGGAGAGCCCCAGGTCTCCTGCAGCTGTGCGTCACACAGGCCCAGCAGCCCCAGGAGGCCCCCAAGATAACCAAATCAGGCCACAGGAGGCCCCCAAGAGGCTCCAGCAGGCCCGAAGACACCCACAGAACCGCCTCCAAGAGGCTTCCGAAAGGCCTCCCAAGAGATATCCACAAGCATCCAAGAGGCCTCATACCTACAACCTAGGCGCGGTGGCGGGATGTGCCCAAGGCCACTAGATCCGCCGCCCACTGTCGATTCATCGCAGGGGTACCTGGCGTGCTAGACTATTTCGAAAACATCTACAACTACACAGCAAAACTGCACCTTGTTGCGGGGGCCAGGGGTGGCAATCATAATTCGATTTGGCGCCTCGGTCGGTCTGGGTGGACGGGCACCGCCTCATGACCCACGATGGAAGGCGATGGTTGTGCCGACGACGTTGCGTGCCAAGCGCGGAAGCGATCACCACGTTGCACAGCGAGGCTTGGCGGCAACCGCAAGAAAAATCATAGAACGAAAAAACGCTCACGCTCGGACGGGGAATCCGGCACGAAAAAGAATTTGAAAGCGCGGGGGATCGGATCGCGAATTTGCTGCTGGGGCACAGGCGGGGGAGGGAAGCGGGCTGCGCGACGTCGAGGCCTCCAGGCATACGGCTGGCTTCGCTGAGCCAGGGGATGCGGGATGTCGGCGGGGAGCGGCCCAAGGGGCGGGGCCTCGGCGATGGGCAGCGCGGGCAGCCGATGCTTCGCGAAAAGGGGACACGTACAGAACGGCACTTAGCGGCCGGGGCGCGGTACACGTCGGGGGCGCGAGTGGCGGCACCCGACATGCACCCCGCCCCGCTGGCTAGGTGTAGTTCTATAGGTGCTCCGTTTTGTGGGGATGTCTCCGGCGAAACCAGCACGTACAGAACTACACCTAGTGCCCGGCTAAGTGTAGTTCTGAACGCGCTGGATGTCTCGCGCGGGGCGAGCACGCACAAACCGGCACCTAGCGAAAGGGGCGGGGTACACGTCGGGTACGTCGTCGCGCCCCGCCCGCAGAGTCAGGAAGGCAAGGGCTGCTGAACCCCCTGTCGGCCTCTGGGCGGAGGTGTCTGAACGTCCCGGGGCTATCAAAAGGAATTCCAACTGCGGCCTCCGCCCACATCGCTCCGCCAATCAGAGTATCTCGCCTGGTCACTATGTTCACCATTCCCGCCCGCTGATTCGCCCTCCCCCTCCCCCGTTTTACCTCTACCTGCCGCCCTCCATTTCCCTGAGTGTTTCCTAGTTGCCCCTGGCCCCTGCGTGGCGGCAAGCGCCCGCGCCCCCCCGCAGCTGAAAGACTCACCTTGCGCTCATCCTCCAATCCACTCGTGAGGCGCAAGCCTTGGTTCCAGAGTGACAATGGCAAGACACGCCGAGGCCCTAGCGAATCCAACAGGCGCGATCGGCCCCCTCGAATGGCGGGCGAACCAATACGCAAGACGATGCCGCAAAAGTAAGTTTGGAATTTCGGTATCCGCGGAAGAAGCTAATCCACTCGCCCAAAATGTAGTTCTATGCCTGTCCGACTATTACGGTTTGGTTTTGGTTCTTTTTCCAAAAGAACTCCCCCTGGGGCTTCGGCCTGTCCCGCCGGCCACCCGGAAGAGGTTGTTGCCATCGCCAAAAACGGCCGTTTCACTCGGGACATCCTCAAACAAACGCGAAGATGGCCCAAGATGGCCTGCAAAATGCCTCCAAGACAGCCAAGATGGCCTCCAAGACGGCTAAGATGGCTCCAAGATGCATCCACGACGGCCCAAGATGGCCCCAATATGGTCTAAGACGGCCCAAAAGGCCCGCAAGAGGCCTCCAAGACGGCCCAAGAGGCCTCCAAGAGTTCCTCCAGGAAGGCCCGACGAGGCCAACATCATTGATGTTCCCTTAGGTTTTGAAAGATTTTGGCATTTGCGCCTTTTCGGCTTTCCGACGGCCCCTGACGGCCCCAGAGGCCGCCAAGGTCGCCCCAAGATCGCCCAAGAGGCCTCCAAGATGGCCCCATGACGGCCCAAGAGGCCCCCGAGACGGCCCCAAGAGGGCGCCAAGACGGCCCAAGAGGCCTCCAAGACGCCCAAGATGGCCTCTAAGACGGCCCTGGAGCACCCCAAGAGGGCCCAAGTCGGCCCAGAAAGGCTCCCGAAACGGCTTCCGACGGCGTCAGACGGGCCAGGAGCCCACCAAGATGGCCGAAGGTGGCTCGAAGCTGGCCCAAGACGGCCCAAGAGGCCTCCAAGAGGGCCTCCAGGAAGGCCAGAAAAGGCCAAAAAGAGTTTTTGTTCCGGAGGTTTAAAGGAATTTGACATTTGCTTCGTTTCGGCCTTCCGACGGCTCGATACTGCCCAAGAGCTCCCAAAGATCGCCCAAGGATCGCCCAAGAGGCCTCTAAGATGGCCCCAGAACGGCCCAAGAGGCGCCCAAGACGGCCCCAAGAGGCCCCCAAGACGGCCCAAGAGCGCTCAAGATGGCCTCCAAGACGGCCCACGAGCCCTCCAAGACGTCCTCCAAGAAGGCCCGAAAGAGTCAAAATGGCCTCCAGGCGGCCAAGATGACCTTCAAGATGCCCACGTGTTCCCCGATACTTTCAAAACCGATTCGGGGAACACATGGTCCGGTAGCTTGGCAGGTCTGGCCTCAACGTTCGGCCACATAGGCGCTTCCACAAAGGCAGGAGGCGGCGGCGATTCGCCGTAGGCGTCTTCGATCCGCCGCCCCCTGTTGATTCATCACAAGGGTGCCTGGCGTGCTGAATCCTCTCGGTTTTGGTTTTGGTTCTTTTTCAAAAAGAACTAACTCCGCGTGGGGCTCCGGCGCGTCCTGCCGGGGTCCCGGGACGCTTGCCCAGAGGTGGCTGCAAAGCCCCCAAAACGGCCGTTTCGCTAGGGACATCCTCAACAAATTACGAAGATGGCCCAAGATGGGATCCAAGTTCGCCCAAGATGGTCCAAGACGGCCTCCAAGACGGCCCAAGAGAGTCCAGAGGCCCCCCAGAGGCCTCCAAGACGGCCCAAGAGGCCTCGAGGTCCTCCAGGAGGGCCCGAAGAGGCCAAAATCATTGATGTTCCCTACGGCTTTAAAAGAATTTTGGCATTCGTTTCTTCTCGGCTTCCCGACGACCCGAGACGGCCCAAGAGGCCCCCAAGATCGCCCCCACAGCGCCCAAGAGGCGTCCAAAATTGCCTCAGGACTGCCCAAGAGGCCCCCAAGACGGCCCCAAGAGAGCACAAAGACGACCCAAGAAGACGCCCAAGATGGCCTCTAAGACGGCCCTGGAGCACCTCAAGAGGGCTCCAAGTCGGCACAGAAAGGCTCCCCGAACGGCTTCCGACGGCGTCAGACGGGCCAGGAGCCCACCAAGATGGCGGAAGTTGGCCTGAAGCTGGCCCAAGACGGCCCAAGAGGCCTCCAAGAGGGCCTCCAGGAAGGCCAGAAAAAGGCCCAAAATAGTTATTTCCCGAAGGTTTTTGAAGGAATTTGACATTTGCTTCGTTTCGGCCTTCCGACGGCCCGATACGGCCCAAGAGCCCCCAGAGATCGCCCAAAGATCGCCCAAGAGGCCTCCAAGATGGCCCCAGAACGGCCCAAGAGGCGCCCAAGACGGCCCCAAGAGGCCCCCAAGACGGCCCAAGAGGCCTCCAAGACGCTCAAGATGGCCTCCAAGACGGCCCACGAGCCCTCCAAGATCAAGATGCCCACGTGTTCCCCGAAGGCTTGCCAAACCGAATCAGGGAACACATGGTCCGATAGTTTGGCAGGTCTGGCCTCAACGTTCGGCCACATAGGCGCTTCCAAAAAGGCAGGGGGCGGCGGTGATTCGCCGTAGGCGTCTTCGATCCTTCGCCCCCTGTGGCTTGCCACAGGGGTGCACGGCGTATCAGACTTTTGACCGTGTGTTGATTCTTGTTTAAAGGTTCCCAGGGACCTTCGGCCTAGTGTGGCGGCCGCCTGCAAAATTGGGGCTCCGTTGGCCTTCCCCCTTGCGCACACAAGACGGCCTAAGGTGGCCTCAAGATGGACCAAGACGGCCCAAGAGGCCCCAAAGAGGCCTCCAAGACGGCCCAAAAAGGCGTCCATAGGGTCATCCTGTTATTGATGTTACAGCATGCGTGTTATACCCCCGAGAGCTCCCACGACGGCCTCAAGAGGGCCCCAAGACGGCCCAAGAGGCCTCCAAGGCCCGAAGCGGGCCAGGAACGTCCGAAGACAGCCAAAGAGATCCGCGAGAAGCCTCCCAAAGTGCCCAAGAGGCCCAAGGGAGTCCCCAACAGACATCCGAGAGGCACCAAGGAAGCTACCAGGAGGCCCCAAGACTGCCCCAAGAGGCTCCCAAGAGGCTTCCTCCTCCTCCTCCTCCTGCTCGTCCTCCCTCTCCTCCTCTTACTATCTCTCCACCACATGTTTCCCGCAGAGTTTCCCAAAACGGTTGGGCGAACACATTGTCCAGTAGCTCGGCCGAGCTCTGGCCGCAACGTTCGGCCACTTAGAAACTTCTAAAAGGCAGGGGACGGCGGTGGTTCGCCGTAGCCGTCTTCGATAGTACTCCTGCTCTATGCCGAACCACGGCTCCTCGCCCTTCGCGAGCACACTCTGCATTGACCTCTCGCAGGCGTGGCGCGTGTTGAAGCTCGTCGGAGCGCCGACACGCTCTGCTCCATTGCCAAGGCTCGGCTCATCGTAGGTGTCGGCCAGGACCATGACGTTGGCTCCACGCCTGAATGGGTCCTTGTAGATCCGTCGTGGAACCAACTGCACGTCCGCACCGTCGGCGCCGCCCGAGTACGCCCATACGGGTAGATCCGAAAGGGCCAGCGGCAGTCCGCTGGATTCAACTGTCAGGCTTTTCGAGCAAAGGTCGAAGCCCTTGCCGTCCGTATACTC